CTCCAGAGCTCAGGGACGTAAGCATTTCACTATATGATTCTATATACTACCTGGCAGAATACCAGCAACTGTATGGACATGAGGGCATTTGTGAGATCCACACGTCAGCCTCCACCTCCGGAAACCCAGTCATACAAGATAAGCATCAGCAGCCGATCACGTGGTTTATGGGTGATCCCTAAAACCTCAACCTCAATCTCTTCACCTTTAAAATGAAGCCATTGAACTGAATTATCTACAAAAATTGCTTAAACACTCAAATTTCCTGATTCCGTGACTAATAGACTATGTGCTGCCATCTTCTAATTATGAGAACCGGCACAGTTTTCTCTCTAAGGCAGTTTGAGCATCTATAAAATGGAGGTAATGCTAGCATCTGTCCATTCACATGAAATAATGCATGTAAAGCATTTAACACAATGCTTGAAACACAGAAAGTGCTCATATATGTTAGCTTGTTATCATCATCATGATTATCACCACCATCATCAACATATGGTTATTATAAAAATCACTACTTTATTAGTATCAATATTAGCAATAGCAAATACTCATTGTACATTTACAACTGACCTTGACATTCAACGAACCGTGACACTACCTGAGAAAACTGAAAGGATCGTCAGGAAACACGTCTACGGTAGTCATTCCTGTGATAATGTAGCCCTACAGATTGCCATCGAAGCACCCTTGTCTACAGGAAAAGCAAGCCCATCGCTCTACCCCTTGGAAGACATCTGTACAAATGCCTTGATGTCCTCTGGTAGTTTTCAGAATGACAATTAAATTCATGAAGGAAGCTAATTATTGCCGTTTATTCGTGGGATTTGGTGCATGCCAAATCCCCATGCGGTTTTGGGCAGCAGCCCCTCTACAAGCGCAAGCTCATACATCAGTGGTGGCAGCACATCCTGGTACAGCCTTTCTGGAAAGCAACGTGACTGTGCATAGAAAGAGCCTTAAAACGACTTAAGCCCATCGGTTTTGTGATTCTCTTACTGCGATTAGTCATAAAGAAAAAGCCACAGGTGCAGTCACATCTGTATGCACTAGAATATTAATTTAGATCATTATTCCTATGTAATCAAAATGCTGAAATCCTCTTAATATCCAATAATATGGTCAATTCAATAGCTCTTTATTTTGCAGCCATTAAAAACTATGACATGGAAAATGTTCGGGGTATTTTGTAAAATTAAAAAAATAATACGATATAATACTATATCTTGTATTATCCCAATTTTATGTGTAGAGTATATTAATATATGCTTAGATAAATGACTAAAATGGTCTTACAACAGTAGAATTATGGGAAATTTTTACATACTTTATTTTTTTCCTACTGACATTATATTTTCACAAGGTAATCATTTCTTAGTAATCTGACAAATTTCATTAGAAAATATAATATAGAAGCCGTAGGACTTATAGAAGGTTACAGTATCATCTCAAAGAATAGATGAGTGAGTCCTTTCTCACTTTCCTTAAACCTGGGAACTCTACTGCTTCTTGGGTCTTTCCTGTTAGAATAGAGAGAGACTAACAAACAAATATATACTGGGATGCTCAGGCCTTATTGGACTTGGTGGCTTGAAAATATCATGATTTAAAAATGATACCAGGGGAAAAGAATTTGTACTGCTACATGATGTGGTGATCATCATAATAAAGAGTCAGTGGGAGAATTATTTCAGAGCACAGACATATGGAGGCTCCTAGACACATGTTGCTGACAGTTTGCAAATCTGTGCTCCTGTCTTCTGGGCACATAAGACTTCTCTTGTCATTTCGAGTGAACATATCAACCAACAGGATGAGTTCTAACCAACAGAATGAGAGTAGAAACGATGTCTACCACTTCAAGACCTGACCCATTATCACCTCCCACACACGATTCTAATGCCCCTTTTCTCCTGAATGAGACAATCGTGGAAACTTTAGAAGCCACACTTTGAAGATCGCCAGATTAGCTTCTGTTCTTTAATGACTGAGAACAATCAACTGGTCTGTATACTCACCCAAGTCTGTTAGATGAGCAAGAAATATACCATATTCTCTTTAATTTATTACAACTCAGCGGCCTGTTTGTTACAGCAGCAAGAGATAACTTACCTAATACAGCTACATTGTACGCTTAGCTATACAAATGGCATGGCCAAATTTATCCTTGTTGAACAGGTGGAAATATCACTTTTGTGCATAAACCACTCATTCTGTGAAAGGGATGAGGAAAAAGTTAGAGACTAAATCATTTGTAGCATTTTTAAAATCACCGAAGTCCTATAGAATCTGGTTAATTTCTCTCATGGAAAGGTAGTAAAATTCTTTGGTTTTCATAAGAACTCTTTAGAATAAACAAAAGATCACACTCTCTGGATTGTTATTTTTGTTATCTTTTGTCTTGTTTTGACTTTTCTTCTTCTATTTGGATGTAGGCCCCATGAGGGCAAAACCTTGACTTGTTTATTGCTAATGCCCCAGTTCCTAGAAAAGTTCCTAGAACAATAAGCATACAATATATTTTGGTTGAAGATGTAAATTAATGTAAGGAATGTGAGATAGATGAAGACAAAGTCACCTGGTGAGACTTACCACCGTAAAACTTGACCAGGGGCTTTCAGTCGTTAGAGAAAGGATTTTCACCTAATACAGACACATGATAAAATATAAAACAAACACATATAAGACATATGTGTTTCTAAATTTTATTTCACATTATAAGATATATTTATCAAATGCCTCTAGAGACCAAAGGCAGCTGACAAATTTGCTGGGTGCAGAAGTCCATTCATTTTTCATCTTTGTCTCTTGCTAGAGTCACTTTAACTCTGAGACAGGTTTCCATCTCCGACCTTGCACCTGATGGCAGAGAGCCATCTGTTTGCTCTCTTCTTACTATCCCAAGCAGATGGCTTCAAGTCAAATAGCCCATAAATCACAATTTCCATGTGCAAGAGGGTCCAACTACGAAGTGCTCATTTGCTCTAAAATTGGTTCAGTTGCTGCCAGCTAGATAGAATTATTTAGCCAAGTCTTTGAAGTCATTAGCTATATACATGCCATCTTCTTTCCTTTTTGGAGTTGTAGCTGTTGATTATATTTATTTATGTATTAGTCAGGCTTCTCCAGAAAAACAGAACCAATAGGTGTGTGTATGTACAGAAAGAGATTTGTTTTAAGTAATTGACTCACGCTATTGTGGAGGCCAACCCAGTCCAAAATCTGATGGAGGAGGCAGAAAAGTTGGAGACTCGAGAAGGAATTGCAGTTCAAATTCAAAGGCAGTCTTTTGGAGAAGTCCTCTTGCTTAATGGAGATCAGTCTTTTGTTCTATTCAAGTCTTCAACTGATTAGATTAGGCCCACCCACATTATGGAGAGAAATCTGCTTTACTCAAAGTCCACTGATTTAAAGGCAAATCTTATCCAAAAACAATCTCACAGAAACATCCAGAATAATGTTTGATCAAACACTTGGGCATCATAGCCCAGACAACTTGACACATAAAATTAACGATCACAGTTTGCTTGCTTTTTACTCATTCGTTTTTGCTCGTCATCTCTGTCCTCCAATTCTCTTAGGCCTCGGGGTCATTATTTCCACAGGGCTCATATAATCCAAAACTTGTGGTGACTTGGAAAGTCCCAACCCCACATTGCAGCTCTCCCAGTGGCTAGTTGAATAACAGGGTACTTTACCCCAGTACTTTGCCAATTCTGCCTCTGTGAAAGGAGATACCTAAGTCATAGGTTTATTATAACAACTAAATGGGAAAAATATACACTGACAAGCTCTCTAAACACAAGTTCACATTGAAACTATGATTTTAAATTGTGTTTATGTTTCAGAGGTCTTGCCTTTCACACCAATGAATGAGAAAATAGAAAATTCTTCATGTGAAGCACACTGCAGTTGTAACTGGCTCATTAGAATAAAGAAAGATCAAATTAATAAATCAATTTTATTCATGAACGGACACTGATGTTAATTTAAGGTTAAGAGCTTTAAAGACCACAACAAATGATTGCTGAATATCAGGGAACAGTGTCAGATTTAAAGTATGGAGGATATTCATCCCTAAAATCAAGGAAGTTAGCACATCCCTGATTCTCCCCCAGTGAATCCTGGGGGAATGCTGGGTATTTTGGGGGTACTATGACAAATGATCCAAGGGAGCTCAGGTAAGAAGGGACTGTTTATGAGAAGCCACTCAAAAGGGCTGGGCAGAGCTTATCACTTCCTCACTTGCAAGGTATAATTAACATCCCACATGTGATTTGATGCTGGATTATCACGTGATCATCAGGCTCCACTGCTCCGGGATTCTTTACAACTCAGATTCCTAGCCAGAGCATTGTTGTGACTGCAAAGAGTGAAGGACGATTTGCCCTCACTTCAGTCTAAGACCCACTTGTTTACTCCTCATTTTATTCAGATCCCTTCTCATTTCTTAAATTTCAGTTCCTTTTATAGAAAATGCCAAATTTGCTTTCAGAGGGGCAGCTTTGCCCTATGGTCCCACCAGGTCAATAGTCCAACATCAGTGGAATTCCCAAGGTCAATATCAATGAGTCTTAAATAAATCCACCCATGGGACAAAGGTGGCAAGTCACTATATACAGGCTTGTTTCTTTTCAGACCATCCTCTTCAGAAATTCAACAAAATTATGAGGTCCTTGCTTTATGAAAAGCAATGTAATTTCCTCTCACCTCTTTGACACATGTGTTCACATGTGTTCTTATGTGCAGCTGGGTGTTTTTGAATGTGTCGACCAGCTTTGACAACTATATGCAAAGATGTTTACATAGGCTATTCTTTATTCCTTCTGTGAGAACTGGAACAAAACTTTATCGTGTGTTTTTATTATCTTTGTAATACCGGATGGATGGTTGGCTTTCTTGGTGCAGCTTTGTACAGTAGACAGTTCTGTTTAAAAATGTGCAAAAAAAATAGTTTTCGGAACACTTCGTTCATATTGCTTCTCTACCACTTTCTCTAGGAATGCCCCAGTGGTGTTGTTAATGAAGAAACCTTCAAAGAGATTTACTCACAGTTCTTTCCACAGGGAGGTAAGTAAGAATGTGGACTGGTTAATGTACTATTAGAATTATGCTTTGGAATATCACTTGATTAACTCATATAATTCTAAGTTATTAAAAACCATAGAATTTTTAAAGAAAAATTGTGTTTACTATACATTTGACTATCTGCCAACATATTGGCAGGCATTAATATCAAGGCACCTAGCACAAATAGAAATCTTTAAGTTATTTTTTCATTATCTCAAATGAAAGTTATTACATGCTACAAATTAGATACAATTTCACACTAAAAATTTACCTTAATTTGAAAAATAACATTTCAGCGTTAGAGAACATCTACTTAAAGATAATCCTTCACAAAGGATTCTGGTTACAAAATCTGAAGGGATTTGAAGAAAAATCACTTTTGTATTCTTAAAAATTCTTTGATTATTTATGTTAATTGAATGCATAAATCTAAAAGTGCCAGGCATAAATGAAGGAAATGAGGTATTTTAAAGAATGATGACTTGCAATTTAAAAAATTAATATCATGAGTACAAATCGTATTTTGTAGTTTTGCTGGAAAAGGGAAAATAATCTAAGGAAGAACGTCATCTCCAATGGCAGGCAAATTCATGCTATGGCCATCCTCACACTTCTATGAAGTCACTTATTTAAGTTGATGATCTGAAAACAACAGGTTTTTCTTATCACAAGCAGTAACAACGATGGCTCCATAAATCACAGTGTCTCGTCATTTCCTCCAGGGAAAATGCTTTGTCTCATCTACAGAACCTCCTGCAATTTGTATTGTGTCAGGCTCTTAGTTTTCTCTTTTGCTTAGTGAGATGGTTTACAAGCACAACGTGTCTGGTGTTCTGGACGTTGGAGTAACTAAATTGAGCAGAAACTTCTTGTTTGTGAGGAGTAAAGTCTGCCTACTATAAAGCAAGCTGAGAGAAAATGGTTTATCGGTGCCCTTGCCTGTATCATGACGGCAATACTTTTCAACTCCACATACGGTGGAAGCTTTAGCATGGAAACTCGTAGTTTCCTAAGCATTTTTAAAACTCATTAATAAATGCAGTTTCCTGGGCTACTCCAGCTCATATTGTAAGAATTTTGCACTTACTTTATCACACTAGGCACCTGATAAACAGCTTTTGAAGGAATGAATGAATGAGCTTCAGTTAAAAGATTCTAAGTCAGCAAATGTTCAAGGCACTTGAGGCAGTTAGATGAGTTCAATGGACCTAAAGATTTCTTTTTTATTTTTTAAAATAATTTCACCATTGAATATCAAGGACAATATTTGTAAGAATTTTCAGGGTGATTTATAAAGGGCTTATTGAACAGAAACTACTTCTTCATGGATATGAACCTGCCTTACCATAGTAGCCGTGCCATGGATTATATATTCAAATGCATTAAGCTAATCCTGTACCTTGTGCTTGAATTCAAGTACGAGTAGGGAGAGGTTTGTGGTGTGAAGAGAGAAATCAACCAGATGACTTCAGTCCCCAGATCTGACGCATGATAATCAAATACTCTGAAATGTGTGTATATCGATGACTTTTGCAGTGAAGGAGTTAATTGGTATCATCACTGTGGTCTGGAAATGACTGTGTTAGAGACACAGGACTAAATCTAGAGTCCTGAGTTTGTGGATAGACTATGCCATGACCAAGTCATGTGACTTGAATGGTTTGTGACTCGAATGGTTTCTCCCTCCGGGCCTCAGGTTGTTCCTCTGTAAAATGTGGAACGACATTTTTACGACATGTAAGAAATGCGGAGTGAAGGAATCCTCAGCTTGCTTTTCACTCTAACGTTCTTTACTTCTAAGAGTTGGTGTTGGAGTAAGAGTTGCAGTGTCCTGATTTCATTGCCAACTCTCTCATTAACTTCGGTGACCTTAGCTAAGCCACTAAGAGTACTCACACTTATTTTCCACCTTGTTAAACTCAGAACACTAGCTAAGTGATACCCGAGATCCCTTCCTATCCTAAGAACTCATAAATGTCGTCCCCCCAACTGTAACACTTCAATTCAACCTTACAAGTAGAATTATAAGAAACAGAGGCAATCTCAGCCTGTCAAACTCAGTAACTTTTTTTGTTTTTTGTAAGGAAATGTGAGCAAGGAAGGCCATCAGGTCACATGGGGAGAATAGAGATCATTGTTATATCTTTTGAGTCCTGAACTCTACTGAAATCTAGAATCCAGGACACCAGTTATTCATCCTTTTGGCAAATATTTACTGAGTATCTAAGAACACCGTCAGATTAAACCAGATCATAAAAGCTTTTGTGCACAGTATTCCTTTTCTTCGTGCATCCACATCTGTGCCCAGGCAGACCCTCCTAGTGCCTTAGTTACTTCCCTTGCTCAGTCAAAGATAGTAGCATCACTCTCCTTCTTTAAAAACTTTCACTGTCTCCAAATGCCTGTCAGAAGAAATCCAAACTCCATCAGAAACCTCAATGCCTTTCATGACACAATTTTACTAGTCTATTGAGCATGAAGTTGCATCAGATTAGAACTCTAGTCACCTAAACATACAATAGGAAGTTCACAAAAAAACAGGAAACTTTCAGGTGAAAACATATTACATCTGTGGTTGAAATAAGAGTGGCTCGTTTATAAAAGCATAATAATTGCTATTATTGATTGAGCATTTATGTGCCTAGGACTATTCTAAGCATTTTGCATACAGAATCTCATTTAGTCTTTTCATGATGACTCTATGAAGTATATACTGTTATCATGTTGTAGCTGAGGCAACTGACTCACTGAGAGGTGAAACAATTTTCCCAAGGTCATGCGGTTAATATTTGGTAGCACTAAGTTTCAAGTTCAGACAGTCTGAATTCTCTATACTATCACCAACCATTCCCTGCACAGTCTATCTAGGCTGGGGAACTGGCTTTGCTTCCAGGATAACTGCCAAGTTACATTTAGAGGAACAAGAAATCCTCTGTACCACATTAGGGCAAACCTTGAGAGTGTACGTCCCACGTGTCAAGCTTTAAAGCTAGACCAACTTCATTTGAGAAGAGTGGTAATTATTTTATGCCCATATTATCTTGTTTTTTTTTTTAATTTTAAAAAATTCTCAACATTGTTTGGTTTGAGCCATTATTCATGGTGAATTCTGTATGCTAAGGTAAAGGTGTCCACCCTGATTCTATAAATAGGGTAACAAGAGATCTGCCTAATGAGGCTCATTATAAAATATGCAAAATCTCTACTTTTTTTCCTCCTTGAAAATAACTTTAACATACCACTCGTCAGGTCATGTCTCCATAGTGCACTAAATAGTTCAAGAACTCTGTGTTAAGAGCAAAGTAACTTAGTAAATAAAAACAGGCTGCAATTTCTTGATAATTCTATACTGCAACTTCCCAACAATTGCACTAAGTTGATTGCAATTCAACTCCTGGTCTCATAGTCAAGGATTTCTTCCTGCAACCCATCAATACTTGATGGACATCCACTCTAGATATAATAGCTTTGCATATCATTTAGATCTGTTTAGTTTATTGAGAACAGTGTTAATAATTCTTATGTTTAAAAATAAGTGGTTCCTCATATCACATTTAAAGGTAAGAGGTGAAAGAAAACACCACCATCATTTCGAGAATCTACATCACGAAATATATGGCCTTCAATAACGTTAACCATTGGAGTAAAGAATTCAGGAAAAATAATCCATAAATAGGCTATGGGCACTTGAGAGCTGGAAGGGAAGTTTGTTTGATCTCTGACCTCTCTTATTTGGGGAAGACAATTCTCTACTTCTGCTACTATGACTTAGTTTTTTGACAACCTTTAAAGAGCAATTTATAAATTAAAAGGCGAATAGAAGTTTTGTTAAAATCCCAATAAAAATAAAGGTTAAAAGTTATAAAATAGAAATGGATTTTAAACAGAAGACAAAGGCTAGAGCCAATAAGCTAAAAGGTTACAATTTTTTTAATATAAAAAAGGTTAAGATAAAAAGCTAAAACCCATGAGATGAAACATTTAAAATAATCAAGTAGATTTGATCAAGGGTCAAGCACAAAAGCACTAAAAAATGAAAACGGTGCACTAAAAGAAAACAAAAAGAGTCTGTACTTTTTAAATGAAAAGGCAGAAACCTCAGAGATTAGGGAGACAAAGAAGAAGAGGAGGGGAAAATTAGAGGAAAAAAGCCTATAAGAAGCAAACTAAGAGGAAGTGTTAGATTTCAGAGCACTGCAGTGTTATTAGATATCATCATGAGTCACTGGGAACAGAGAGCCATCCAGAGCCATCCACCTTATGCACAGCCTTGATTCCCACCTAGGACCCAGGCAGAGCGGGGCTCTCCGCTGCTTGCCACCGGGGACCTTCAATACAATCCTCTTCCAGTGTGGCCACGGAAACCTCCCAAGTCACTGCTGTCTCCGATTCATCTGGCAGCTTCACTGGCTGTGGCCTTGCCTGGTGTTTCAGTCAAAAAGACCTGAGTTATGTCCCACTCTACTCCTTGTTGACTGTGTGACTTTGGGCAAGTTTCTCAACCTCTCTGAGTCCGAATCTCTTATCTACGTTGTGAAAATGATGACTAACACTAGTAATAGCAATTCGTCTGTGTCTCATTAGTAGTATTTGTATCATATTACTTCTGCAAATAGTCCCTTCCAAGCACTAAGCAATTTCCAGATGTGTCTTCACTTAATCCTCCCACCTGTTGATGGTGCTGCCACTCATCCCAGGGGCAGCAGCACCACCCAAGACTCCCATGAGGTCAGCTCATTTCCAGCCGGAAACTTAGAGAAGGTCCTCACTAGTGGCCTTGATGTAGGTAGCTCACTCCTACGAGTCTCAAATTGCAATTTTCTACTGAAAGAAAGTGGGCAGCTGGGAGGAAAGCACAAATTAAAGGAAATAGCGTAAATTTTCCTGAATAGAAGGAGGCTTGGACATACTATACGCTTCCTATGCAAGATTCTGAAATGCTGATTTAATGATCTTCCCTTTTCAACATTTCAGACTCTACAACGTATGCACATTTTCTGTTCAACGCGTTTGATACGGACCACAATGGAGCTGTGAGTTTTGAGGTGAGTCTCGGACTATTTTTTAATGTGATTTGCCTTTACACACTGAAAGGAATTTAGTCTCTTGTTAGTTGAAAAATTTGAGTTTGATGATTTACATTTTTTTTGGTTATGCTTTTTGAGCTTTTTATCCTTTTTTATTATCGTGGTAAGGACACTCAACATAAGACCTAGCTTCTTAACAGATTTTTAGTGCACAACACATTATCATCAACTAGAGGTGCAGTGTTGCACAGTAGGTCCCTAGAGCCTGGTCCTCTTGCTTGACTGAAATTTTACATCCTTTGGTTAGTAATTCCTCCCAGCCCCTGGCAACCACCATTCCACTCTGAGTCTATGAATCTGACTATTTTAGATACTTCATATAAATGGAATCATGCAATATTTGTCTTTCTATGATGGCTTATTTCACTCATCTGTTCCTAGAGGGAAAGCTTTCAGTCTTTCATCATTGAGCATGATGTTAGCTGTGGGCTTTTTTATATATATGTGGCCTTTATTGTGTTGAGGTGCTTCTACTCCAGGTTTACCGAGAGTTTTTATCATGAACTAGTGTTAACTTCATCAAAGACTTTTTCTACATCTATTGGGATGATCAGGTGGTTTTTATCCTTTATTCCGTTAATGCAGTATGTCACATATATTGACTTTCATATATTGTAACATCTTTCCATCCCAGAGATGAATCCCACTTGGCCATGATGTGTGATCCTTTTAACGTGCTGCTGGATTTGGTTTGCTAGTACTTTGTTGAGGATTTTTGCATCTATATCAGGAATATTGGCTTGTAGTCTTCTTTTATTATGATGCCTTTAGCTTTAGTACCAGGAGAATGCTGACCTCATAAATGAGTTGAGAAGTATTCCTTACTCACCAATTTTTTGGAAAAGTTTGAAAAGGATTGGTGTTAGTTCTTTAAATGTTTGGCAGAAATCACCAGTGAAGCCATCTGGTCCTGGGCTTTTCTTTGTTGAGAGATTTTTGGTTATTGATTCAATCTCCTAGATATAGAGCTCCCCGCCCACCGCCCCCGCCATGATTCAGTCTTGGTAAGTTGTATGTTTCTAGACAGTTACCTGTTTACCTAGGTTATTTTTTATAATAATCTCTTTTGATTCTTTTATTTCTATGGCATCAGTTGTAACATCTCCTCTTTCATATCTGATTCATTTATTTATTTATTCATTCATTCATTTATTTGAGTCTCCTCTCTTTTTCTTTTTCTTTTTTTTGTCTAGCTAATGGTTTGTCAACAACTCTTAGTTTAATCGATTTTTTTCTATTGTTTTTCTATTCTCTGTTTCATTTATTTCTGCTTTCATTTTTATTTTCCTTCTTCTGCTATTTTTAAGCTTAGTTTTTTTGTTTATTACCTCCTTGAAGTCTAAATTGACATTGTTTGAGATATTCTTTTTTAATGTTGGTGCTAATTGCAATAAACTTCCCTCTTAGTACTGCTTGATAATGTTTAAGCAGGAGGAAAAAGCTCAAGAATAGTTCCTTGCCCTCATTGTGTTGTCATAAAGCTACACTTAACTTTCCAAAGAAGTACAAATTACAACACACATTAGTTTGCTTTCTAGTACTATATATCTGTTTGCATGAGAAAAGTACATTTTCCCAATTACATGACAACAATCCCAGAAGGCAAACAATCTAACTAACATTTACTGGCATTGACTACAGACCAATAACTATGGTAGGCTTTGGAAATACAAATCGGATAAAGTCAAAACCTTGACATTGAAGGCCCAGTAAGTAGGGGAAACATGAAAGAAATTAAATATAACAAAACGGTGTATTCACCAGCCTGACAATTTTATAAGGAAATTCCTTTTCAAATTATGTACTTTAAATGATTTGTATTTAATTTTGTTCATGAAATGTTATATATAAGCATCAATAGAATGAACTAGATTCTGGATATTCACATAACTAAATATATATAATAAATTATTAT